GCATCTCAGCCAAGAAGCTTTGCTCTTTATCAGTCTAGCTTCTAGTCAGCAGATTGGCAGAGTCGCATAGAGGAGAAGGGAATGCAGTTGTCGTCTCCCTCAATGGAGAAGGAGCTCTTAGATAATCCAATAGTATCTCAAGCCGACGTCCCAAAAGCCTATCCAAGCTCGATCTTTGTAAGTCTGGAAACCTCTCTTGTGATCGGGCTGAGCTCGTAGTGACTTCGGCTTGAGGTAGAGTTGGAGATGGAGATGTGTAATGGAAAGAACTTGAGACGAGGTCGGTATCTCCAAAGGTGTAGCCTCTGGGACAATGACATGAGCTAGAGTCATAGAGTGGATCCTCTTCAGAGGTGGAACTTCCTCTTCCGCTTCCTTAGAGGAGGTGACAATCTGAACTGGGGCCTCCCTTTTCTTTCCCTTCATCGCAGCTGCAGCCTTAGCAGCCTTGTAACCCAACATTTCCAAATCTTGAGCTAAAAAATAATAATAAAGATAAAATAAAAATATATATAAATATAGGTCCACACTATACTTAGCTTAAACGAAAGCTAACCAAGCTCTTCCATGAAAAGCCCTCACTGAGCTAGCTGGTAGGGAACTGGATGCACCAACTGTGGTCGGATCTGGGACCTTTGTCTGAATTAAACCCACCTAGAAGAGGTTGGAGTTTGAGATCAAGTATTTTGCTCGACTTCTGTCTGTTCAGCAAAGCTCTTATGTCCTCAACCCGCCTTTGAGTATCTTTTGTCAAACTAGCTTTTTTGTAATCTGCAAAGCAAAGTGAAGGGTTAGTACTTCTTCACCAGTCACGTCAGCTCAAACATCTAAGCACAATCACTTATATAAAGAATGATAGAGTGCAGGAATGATATCTCTCGATTCACTTCGTTGGATGAAACAAACCCATAGAAAAACTCTTCCTTCCACATCTTAATTGAGGAGGGGATATCGAAGACTAAAGGCTGCTCGTCCTCAGCCTAACACTGGTGTACCACTCACCCGAATTCCTCCAATCCTCCTTGAACGTAAGAAGGGAACTAAACTGCCCACACTAAGCTTGGGATTCCCTAACTTATCCCACAGGACTGGAGTGGCAATTAGAGTCCGCCACCTGTTGGGAATTAATTGGGTGGGAGCTATTTCCCAAAAAGAGAGAAACTTTCAAATTACTCTAGGAATATGTAGCCTTAGCCCGGCGTGTAAAATGGCTGAGTTTAAGGCGACCTATCCTACTGGAGGAGAGTCAGACCAGTCGGAGGGTTCTAGGATTATCATTAATACTGAGCTAGGAATATCATACTTAGCACACAAGCTAAGTAACATATCAGCAGTCACTGCTGATGTATATGAGCTCGCCCCATACTCCAAAACATTCCCCTCGCTGCCTCCATGGGATCCGACCTCCTCTCCTGACAATTTTCCATCTAATTTCATGTTGGCAGGGTGTTCTAAATCTATTGGGTTAACGATCAAGATAGGGACATGGGTTAGGATCTCTCGACAACTAGACAATGAGTTAGAGGTGGAAGGTATGGTCTCTTCCTATTCGTTTCCCCAAGAGTTCACTCTAGACTCGTTAGAGCCCATGAAAGAGGTAAAATAGAAGGAATGAAGAAAGAGAATAGAAGAATACTTGGGGTCTTGGACCTGATGGCCTCACTCAAAAAATGGAAGAAATAGCGCGAAGAGAATTCCTCGTTTCTACGAAGAAAGAATGTTTGTGTAAAGTAAAAAAGTAAAATGAGAAGCCAAAAGGTATTTAAAAACAAGGAATGCAAAAAGACTTCACTCCGGTTGTTAGATGAATAAAAGGAGGGAAAATAAGTGGTTCAGATTAACACAGCCCAAAACTACACCATTTTGGGCAAAACTTCTACAAGAAGCCAACATATATGCTAGACAGCTCAAGCTGGTAAAAATGGGACACATGGCACTGCAATAAATGCACTTCTTGAGAAGAGGACCAGCCAATCGATGAGGTATGTCCTCCATTGGAGAAGAACTGACCTGGGGGTGACCGTGGACCCAGATCGCCGATCTCAAGATAAATCAACCGTAGGCACCATTTCAACATATGCGAGTTCGGTCATAAAAATTCAGCTCGGCATCCTATCACCATCATCTCGAGAAAACATCATAATTACCTCCTGCCACATCGCCCTCTCAATCACATACACGTGTAGAAGATGACGTCATTATCGCCCATGAACACCAATCTGAAGCCTCAAACCTTTAAATCATCTGCGAGTCATCATTACCTGTAAATGACACTGGCACATGGCCACCGGCCTCATCGTCCAATCACAAGAGAAATCTCAACCCGACTTTCGAGCTCGGTCTTGTTCTTGATTTGATTGACTTGATGTAATTTTGGCTATAGTCATGTATAAATAGTAGAGAAATGGTTTTGTGAACGTTAAGTGGACTTTCACACAAACACTCCATATAATTAAGTCTTATTGATATGCAAATGCAATTTTCATAATAACAAGGGAAATCGCCCCTCTTTCTTAAAGTTGACTCAAGATTAACCCCTACAAATTTTGACGTCAACACATTGAAATTTTTGCACTTGTATTAGGTTATTCTATTATTTTCCTTCACATCATATGATTTTCATTTAATAGAATTTTGCATTCTACTATTTTTTCCAAATATTATGTCATGAATGACTTCCTTCCTGGTTCGAAACTCTTATAATATCAGCAGCTAACTGAAGTTCGAGTCAAAACCTTTACCCCAATGTAGTATAATCATGATTAAGATACAATTATGTGAAGCAATAATGCTAGAGACTTTGAATAGCTTGTGGACGCTACCAAAACCTTAACTTTTTTCTTAATCTTTCACTTTAGGAATTTGTCAAAATTCGAAAACTAAAATGCGATAGGAAGACTGTTAGAAACCAAAACTGTGTAAACAAAAAAAGAGAGAGCTATTAATGCACATGCAAACTTGGAACCATCGTCAGTTGAGTAACATCTTTTTTCTATATATATATATATATATATATATATATATATATATTTTAAAGTATAACACGAATCTTATATTTCATTGTTGAATATTGATAATTATCTTTTGGAGTTTTCATCATACTTTACTACCTTTTTCTATTTTCCTTGTATCTTGATAAATGAATCTTTTGTTATTTTTGTAGTCGCAATATCTTTCTCTGCATTTAACCACAGAAAAAATGAAAGGCAATAGAAAAAAAATTGCATTAGTAGTGTATATTAGGCCACATACATGAGTTCAATTCACAGTAATTACATGATTGACAATCATAATTTGCTTATTCAACTACTTCTCTTTGTCATATTACAGTTTCAGTATTTTACACGTTTAATTATATTCATGTTTTGGACTCCCTTCCAAAACTATGCCTATAAAAATGTCTCTACTAGCTGGACAAAAGAATATGTCTGGCCAAGGCGATGTGATTAATGGCAGTTGGACTGTATATATCCCATTGGACTGCCATTCTCAACCCTCGACCCGACGACTTAGCGCTAGGCTTATGTGGGAGGTGGCATGTGAGCCCTTACATTGAGATATGGACGATAAAACTCGTGGGATAGGACCTGGTATGTCATTTGCCAATTATGTATTGGAAAAGGATTCCGATATTGGGGTGATTGGTTTTGTTCCTTGCACTTTTGCCTGATCTTTTATATCCGATTGGATATAAGGCTCACCTCTCTATGCTATATTCATGAAGAGGTCTAAGGCGGCATTGGAAGATGGAGGTGAAATTCAGGCGCTTTTTTGGTATCAAGGTGAGAGTGACACAAAGTGTTAGGAAATATGTAATTGGCAAATCTGTGACCAAGGACCAAAATGTAATAATTGTAAAGTCAAGGATTAAAATGTCATAATTGTAAGGTCAAGAACCAAAGTGTCAAATGTCCAATAGTTCAGGGACTTGAGTTGCAATTAATCAAAGTGTTGAAGGCTAGGTCTAGGGTTGTGATGGATGCCTCGAAGTTGCAAACGGCGCGAGATTTCGCTAGACTCACGCCATGATCTCGCTCGAGCCACGATTGCAGAACCAATGTCGCTAGATCCTCGCTAGCAGGTCGCTCGAGCGAAGTGGACGTCGCTCGAGTCACGCTGGTCCCTCGCTCGAGCGACCTATTTATCTGGGCAACATTAAATTTAAAAGCTCGCGAATTTTTGACGTGCTACAAGACCATATGTTGAGCCATATAAATACGATTCGTCTCCTTCGAGTTGGATACAGAGGAAATACACATTGAAGCCATATTATTGATTCTCTCTAAAATCCTTGAAGATCTAAATCCTCGATAAGCAAAAACATCACACCCTGAAACACCAAAACACCACCTTCTCTAAATCATATAAAACTTCCAGAAGATCCTCAGATTGAAGATTCGGGAAGAACTTGCTTGAAGAGTGGGAGTGCTTGACGATTCACGGGAAGTAGAAGTCACACAAGGCTGGGATGGTAGCACAGATCTGCTAGATCCAGGAGAGTCTTGTTCTCAAACAGTAAGGAGGTCAGAAAATTGAGGGGATCAATTGTTCTGACGTACTGTAAGTTACCTTCTACAAATAGTGGATCTCTACTGGCTTGTGCCCGGAGTTTTTACCCAGTTGGGGTTTCTCCGTCAACATTCGTTGTGTTGGATCAATTGTTCTGACGTACTGTAAGTTACCTTCTACAAATAGTGGATCTCTACTGGCTTGTGCCCGGAGTTTTTACCCAGTTGGGGTTTCTCCGTCAACATTCGTTGTGTTCTTTTATTGCTTTAATTTATTTATTGTTACCGGTAATTCAACATAGGTAATTAAGACATGTGAATGAATCTGGACAAACTTTAATTCTTGTGACTTGTTGCACGAATTAATTGATAATTTTTTTAATTCCGCATGAACACCTATTCACCCCCCCTCTAGGTGTTAGTTGGGTCGAACGTAAGGTTTTTCAAGTGGTATCGGAGCTAAATCTCGAGTCCTGACCCATAGCTGTCTAGATGAGTCAATCACTGTCTGTACCTCCGTTTTTCGACGGAAGTAATTATGCGTATTGGAAAGTTAGAATGCGTGCATTCCTCAAATCATTAGATGAGCATGTGTGGATTAGTGTTCAAAATGGTTGGAAACCTCCCTCTAGTATCGTATCAGGAAACATTCATCTCACTGACATATCATTGTGGACTAAAGATGAGTTAGCTGCATGTAACTGGAATAGTAAGGGAATTCATGCATTATTCATGGCACTATCACCAGAAGAGTTTAGGCGAGTCTCTATGTGCGAAACTGCTAAAGAGGTTTGGGACATTCTCGAAACAACACATGAGGGAACTAAAATAGTAAAAAACTCAAAACTGCAAATGCTAGCTTCTAGGTTTGAAGAAGTGAGAATGAAAGATGATGAAACATTTGATGAGTTTTACGCTAAGCTAAATGACATAGTTAACTCGAGTTTCAACCTAGGTGAGAGAATTCCCGAGACCAAGATAGTGAGAAAGGTACTTAGATCCCTACCTGAGAGATTTAGGCCTAAAGTCACTGCTATTGAGGAAAGTAAGGACCTAGATGAAGTTAAGATCGAAGAATTGGTAGGATCATTGCAAACCTATGAACTCACTCTCTCACAACACCAATGTGGTGCTCTAGGACACACTAGGTCTAGATGTTACAAGTTAGGCAATGAGCGTAGAAGTCAAAACATTCCTAGTCAGGTTAGCTTTCTGTCTAATCAGGTTAGTCATCTGACTGAGATGCTTACTAAGCTAACTAAGAGTAACTTGTCGCCTAAAAGGATTTGGGTCAAAAAGGGTGATTTAATTAGACTATCAGGTCAAGAGAAATGCCTTGTTGCTAATGTTGCATTAAAAGCTCAAAATTCTAGTATGTGGTACCTTGATAGTGCATGTTCTAGACATATGTGTGGTAATAAATCTTTGTTTACTACTCTTGATGAATGTAATGGTGGTATGGTTACTTTTGGAGATGGGGGCTCTGCACCTATTCTCGGCAAAGGTACCGTACAAATGCTTGGTTTGCCTGTGATTTCTAATGTGCTATATGTGGAAGGTTTAAAATCAAATTTGCTAAGCATCAGTCAAATCTGTGATGATGATTTTGAGGTTAGTTTTGTGCAGAAGAGATGTACTGTATATGATTCATCCGGTGGGGTAGTCCTTGAAGGGGTTAGAACATCCGACAATTGTTATGGGGTACTACCTAATTCTAACTATGTAGCCATCGGGGAAAATGGAGATGAAAATTAAGAAATAGAAATTCAAGAAGATGGAAATTAACAAGGAAAACAAACCAATATGGAAGGCTCAAACACGAAAATGATTCGTTGTCCTCAAACGATATTTGCCCTTTCTCATATACAAATTTGGTGCTTAAAAGGTTTTATGGCAAATAGTTCGTAGGATTTATCAAGCCTTGTTGTAGAAAATCACAAAAGCACAAACTGTGTGTGGACCATGTCAACTAGGTAAACAACTTAAGGGGAGACATAAGAAGACCACTAAAATTCTGACTAAAAGACCACTGGAATTGATTCACATGGATTTAATGGGACCCTCTAGGACCGAGAGTTTAGGTGGTAAGCGTTACATCCTTGTCGTTGTAGATGACTTTTCGAGGTTTACTTGGATAGAGTTGCTTAGGGAAAAATCTGATGCTTGTGACCTTATTAAGTCTCTGTGTAAACGGCTTAGCAATGAACTGAATCTCAAAGTGTCTAGGATGCGTAGTGACCATGGAAAAGAATTTGAGAACTTCAACCTTGAGAGTTTTTGTATGGATGAAGGGATAATGCAGGAGTTCTCTTCCCCTATCACTCCGCAACAAAATGGGGTGGTTGAAAGGAAGAATTGTGTCCTTCAGGATATGGCTAGAGCCATGCTTCATGGCAAGGAATTAGCCCTACACTTTTGGGGAGAAGCTATTAACACTGCATGCCACATAGTTAATAGAGTCTACCTTAGACCCAAGACTGATCAGACACCCTATGAAATTCTTAAGGGTAAGAAGCCTACTGTTAAGTATATTCGAATATTTGGGAGTAAGTGCTACATTTTGCGGGATCGAGAGAGCTTGGGTAAGTTTGAATCAAAAAGTGATGAAGGGATCTTCCTGGGGTACTCGAGGAATAGCCGTGCATTTAGAGTGTATAACTCACGTACCCGTGTGGTGATGGAGTCTATAAATGTTGTGATAGATGATGGTGTGAGTGAGGGGGAGAGTGCTAAAAATTGTGATAAAGATGGTGATCGTTTGGTTTCCAATGATCCTACTGAACTACCTGTGCTTGAAACATCTGAAAAGGAAACACTTCTAGATAAACATTCTAAGGAACCATCAACTAGGGTTAAATCTAACCATCCTTAGGATAATATCATTGGGGATCTAGATGAAGGGATGAGACTTCGTAGGAGAGTATTGAATAATCTAGCATACACTAGCTATGTGTCTCAAGTCGAGCCTAAGAAAGTTGAAGAGGCTCTTAGTGATGAGTGTTGGGTAAATGCAATGCATGAGGAGCTAAATCAATTTGCTTGGAATAATGTGTGGATATTAGTTCCCAGACCAAAAAATTGCAATGTGATCGGTACCAAGTGGATCTTTAAGAACAAGACAGATGACCAGGGTACTATTACTAGGAATAAGGCAAGATTAGTTGCTCAGGGGTATACTCAGGTTGAGGGGATTGATTTTGATGAGACTTTTGCCCCTGTTGCACGACTTGAGTCGATTAGGATTCTGCTGGCTGTTGCATGTACCTTAGGGTTCAAGTTGCATCAAATGGATGTTAAAAGTGCCTTCTTGAATGGACTTCTTCAGGAAGAAGTTTATGTGGAACAACCTAAGGGATTTGTTGATCCAAAATTTCCCCACTATGTCTACAAGCTTCACAAAACCCTTTATGGTCTGAAGCAAGCTCCTAGAGCTTGGTATGAGAGACTCACATCTTATCTTGAGGAACATGGGTTCTCTCAAGGTGGTGCAGACAGGACCTTATTCATTAGACATATAGAAGAAAACTTTACCATTGCTCAGATCTATGTCGATGACATCATTTTTGGGTCTCCTCTAGAGTCTTTAGCGATTGAGTTTGCTGAGTGTCTGCAGAGAGAGTTTGAGATGAGTATGGTTGGGGAGTTGAGCTACTTTTTAGGACTTCAGGTACGTCAGACAGAGGATGGACTGTTTATCTCACAGTCTAAGTATGCTAGGGATTTGGTTAAGAGATTTGGGTTAGATAATAAGAAACATACTAGGACACCGATGAGTACCAGCTTGAAGTTAGGTCGTGATCCTTCTGGTAAAAGTGTAGATCCTTCCCTATATCGTAGCATGATAGGTAGTCTTCTATATCTTACAGCTACTAGGCCCGACATTGCTTTTAGTGTAGGAGTGTGTGCTCGTTTTCAGGCTTACATGGGTAGCAATCTCGTAGCTTGGCTAAGTAAGAAACAAAACTCAATATCCTTATCCACGGCAGAGGCCGAATACATAGCTGCAGGGAGTTGCTGTACTCAGCTTCTTTGGATGAAACAAATGCTTAGTGATTATGGGATTAGTCAAGGGACTATGACTATCTTTTGTGATAATACAAGTGCGATTAACATTTCTAAGAATCCCATTCAGCACTCTCGTACAAAACACATCGATATACGACATTATTTCATTCGAGAGCTGGTTGAATCACAAGTTGTTTCCCTCGATCATGTGTCTACTGAGAATCAATTGGCTGACCTACTTACAAAATCGCTAGATGGGTTGAGGTTCGAATCGCTTCGGTCGGCTGTAGGTGTTAGTTCACCTATTTGATCATGTGTTCATACACATTCATACCTTCATCACATTGCATATGTGTTGCATGTTTGTGTGTTTGTTTAGTCTTAGTTTGCAAGTTTTATTTGTGTGTTTCAATAAAAAAAAAAAAAATTTTTGATTGAGGTTTTGATTATGTGTGTGCCTTATATGCTTTGACTCTGACATGTGCATTTAGACTCGTACTCTTTTATTCATCATATGTACGACTCTGAGGTTCCATCTAAGTTCACTCTGTCTGTGGAGTTTTGGTATATGGCTCGTCATTCACCTTTGCACAGTGCGCACTGTAGTCCTGTAAATGAGACTTGACCGCATGGGTGAGACTTGAGATGGTGGTCTACTATGATTGGGGTTGTGTGTCCATTTGACTTGATCTAGGACGAGTGTCACCTAATCATAGTGTCTTTCCCCACGTTTATTGTATGTTGTCAAACTTTTGCTATGTTTGGGGCCTATTTGACTCGAACTATTAAGCCCGAGGGGTTTTTAACCTGGTGCCCTAAGGTCGTCTGGCTTGGGAGTCACCGGCCCAACGTTCGCTACGGGGGTCATTTCTGTCGCCTAATGAGGTTAGCATTGCACTTAAGTTCGCTTGTTTTAAAAAAAAAAACATGAGATCATAAAGTTAGGGGGAGTACAAATGTGACATTTGTATCATTTGATATAGGTCCTCGTGGTATTGGATTTGATTGTCACTTGGTCGACATACACCTTTGTTTGGTTAGCTTCACGTGTCCCTTCTCACTAATTTAAGGTTTTGAGTCTAGCTTGCATGGACTACGTGGCACTTTTCACGGTGTTGGTCTGTATACACTTGACTCCACGGGTATTTGATCTCTGTGTGGACTTATGTTCTGTCTATATGCTGGGTATCGAGTTTGTGACTTTATGTTTTTGTTTGGGCTCGATTGCATATTCGGTTCCACATGTTAAAGTTTTGAAATTCGGGGCTATTTTCGTAAATTTCCTACTGTTATGCCATTTTTCGAAGAATTCAAAATCTTAGTGCTATTTTTGACAATTGCCTTTTCGCTCGAGTCTCGTTTATACCTCACTCGAGCGTCATTAACAGAACACTCTCGCTCTAGATTCGCTGACTGTCTCGCTCGAGCGACAGTGTGGGTTTTTCAATTCCTGGTTCATTTCACGCATTTAAGTTTTCAAATTTAGCCTCCGTTTTCATCCGTTTCTTCTTTTGAGCTGACATTTCTTCCCCAAATCTTCTAAATTGATTGTTTCGAAGTAATAACACCCAATTTCAACATCAAAATTCCATTTTGAACGTCAATTGAGGTAGGTTTTTCCATTTGTTTTCATTTTTTTTGTTTTTTTTATTTTTCCTCATCTCTTTCCATTTTGTTTGATTCATTGCTTCTATTACATGAGTTCATAGCCTCTAGCATGTTTAGCATCGTTGGATTGAAGTTTCTTGCATGTTGAATTCATGTATTACATAGCATTGTGTGATTTTTGCTTGATTTGTGCTTGTATTTTACTTATGTTTTGTGTGATTTTCATCCATGTTCATCGCTTTGGTTCCTCCATTCCGTAACTCCGTTTTGCGTGTGGTTTGTTTCTTTGTGAAGAGCATGTTTCCTAGTTTGTGAGTTTGTGTTTGATTGCATGGTTACGTCTCTTGTGTGCTTGGAAATTCGTGCCGAAGTGTCGCACGCCACATGTTCGATGAATTGACTTAACTATTTCTGTCCTTCTTTGGCATGGTTGGTTCTTTTTCTTTTTGCATTTTTTTCTCCATTGGAATTGTGTGCATATTCTTAGTCGAGTGTCAGGGTCGTGATAACTTTTGTCTTAGGGTCGATCGCATTTTTCGATGTCTTATTTTTGTGTCTCATTTGTGTGCACGGTGTGCCATGTCACATTGCATCGTTTCACGTGCATTTTTCATGTATCTCATTTATTGCTTCTTTACGTGTGCCAGATGGCCCGTAAGCGATCACGTCCCTCTTCCCAGCCAGCTAGTGGTTCTCCGTCGTACAGTCGATCGCGATTCATTTCTGCCA